AGGCTCTCTGACTAGCTCATATTCCCCCTCAATGGGTCACTGACAGTTTGAGCTTGTGTACATCCTTCACAACATGCGCTCTTACAATCTAGATGTGTCAGTGCAAAGCATTTCAACTCCCATTTTCAAATGTAGGTGTCCCCAGTGAGCCACTGCACGCAGGCATCCAAAGAAAAGTAGCCTGCAGCTCACCAGGCTGTACTGAGAGTCTCTGTTTGGATGACTGAAGAGCGGCCTAACCTGAGACATTCCTACTTGAAACTATTCCATAACATTGGGCAGCTGTATAAAACACTAGATTGCACTTACAAGTTCTTTTCACTGCCATTATCATCCTTGCCACTCTTGGCAGATTGTCCTCCCAAACAGAAGGCTGTGACCCAAATACTGCTAAAAGTCATAAGTCTGTGTTAAAGGAAATACGTTTTTTTCAAGGAGTTCAGCTCAGAAAACAAAGCACAAGCATCTGCATCATCATGCCAGATGCTGACAGCAATATAGGATTATGATTGGTGAGAATGGAAACAAAACAATTGTATGAGTGATGGTTTCATGCATGCCAAATGCTTCCACCACTGAAAAGACTCTGTTCCACTGAATTTGAAATATGCAGCTATTCAGTGAGGGTAGCTAAATCTGCCAGATTTGTTCTGCAGCAAGAGGAGATGGGTGGGTAACAAGCACAAAGATCCTGCACAGTGCTTTGATAAGAAGATCTTGTTAAGATCCTCCTGCCTTCTCTCTCACTGTATTTCCAATCTAGTGGCCAGGTCTAGGAAACAATCTGCAATGACACATGCAACATTTTTTTTTTGTCTAGACAGCTACAGCTATGCAAGAAGACAAAATGGGTTGACTGATACAACACCATGAGCGTCTCTGTCGCTAAGGTCTCCTGCTCTCTGAAGTGGCGTGATTGCATTCCCATGGAGCAGAGAGGGTGTCCTTCAGATTCTAGTTAACCTCTGTTTTAGTATGCCTCAGGCAGACACTGAGTGAGACAATGCCAGCTTGCATAGGCAAAAGTCATGACAGAGACAGTGCCAACCAGGATGGGCAGGCCAATCACAGAATGGTTGAGGGTGGAAGGAACCTCTAGAGATGATCTAGTCCAACCCTCTGCTCCAGCAGGGACACCCAGAGCATGTGGCACAGGGTCACATCTAGGCAGGTTTGGAAGATCTCCAAAGGATGAGATTTCACAACCTCTTTGGGCAGCCTCTCACCCTAAAATGTGACAATTTCACAAAATTGTGATAAGATGTGACAACGTTTGTTCCTGTGCACCAGCACTCTCTGCTTTAACAGCATAGATGTGGTATTTGTGACCCAGAAGACCTCCTGGAATTTTCCATGTAGTGCTGTGTGCAAACAGGTTTGTTCCTTGCTTGGCTGGTGCTTGTGATCATAAACTACCCTTATTACCTGCCGGCATAAAAGATTTCTCCTCTAATTAAATACATCCCGGAGATAGGTGGGCTGCAGTGATAGTTACTTTGGGCTCATGCCAAGCAAGTGACTCTATTTTCACTGAATTTAGCAAAAGGGTGAAGCAGGATAGCTCCCCGAATCTGTGTGACGTTATCAACTTTCCTTACAATTTCTTGATCAGTGCTTTACTCTCCCACATATTCTACCCAGAACAACAGTATCAGAGCTTGAGCACATCTCTGCATCAGTCAGGTGGTGGGTTTGGGACAGCAACTGCTAAGAGCATGTGCTAATATAGAGGCTCAGAGTCAGGTTATTGGTAGAGGACTCATAAATAGGCATGACGCTTCCCATCAAAGTTTGTGGCAGTTGCACCAAAGTCATCCTTCCTACCTAGAGAAATTATTTATGTTTTGCACAAAGCAAGAGACGTACATGGGAATGGAGATCTGTTTACTTTCTCAGTGCCCAATTACAAACCCAGAGTCACTTCTCTCTGCAAGAGTACAGGAACTGAGTATCCTTCTTCCCCACCCAAGCCACCCATGAAAGCCATTTTCTCTGATGGCTGGGCCGGAGATTTCTGGAGCTAGAAATGCCCACAGCAGAGAGAAAACTGTCATGTATAGTTGGAAACCAAGCCAAACCAACCAACCAAGCAACAACAACAACCAGTAAGATTTCCTCGCAACAGCATCTGCGTCTTTAAGCTACGACTGTTGACTTTTGGTTGTACCTCTCTGGATACAGAGCAGAGGTACTTCTGCCTCTTGTGTCAGGCTCCAGTAGTAGTCCTTTAACTGATCCCCCATGAGGGCACATCTGTTCCAAGTCCATATTACATACGGGAAAAAAATAAATAAATACAGGAAAAAAATGACACCTTCAGCTATAAAGACTGTCTGATTTGGTGTGTCCTTGTTGCTAGGAGGCAAGCTACCCACCGGGTTAAATACTTGTGACATCTGCTAAAAAAAAAAATGTCAGGAGTGAGGGGAACAATACCAGTTAATGTATCACACTGAGTACTCAATGCAGCTGGCAACATTAAGGGAAGATTCTGTTCCATTTCCCTCCCCAGCCCAGGGAAGTCAGGATTGCTGGACAACTAACTGTCATGCTGTCTGTGAGACATGCGAAGTTATAAAGGCATGCAATTGCATTTCTCAACAGCTACTGAGAAATACAGAGTCATGGCAAAGGAAAAAAAAAAAGACTGCTAAGGAGATATTTATTATCAAGCTCTTAAAGCTGAGAAATGGTTAAATTAACTCTGCCTCCTCGTACATCTGCATTATGATACAATCCATAATTAAAAGATGACCTTCTGATCTCCACATCAGCACAATATCCATCTCTCCATCATTTGTGGTGCAGAGTCTTGGGACACTTTGTGCCTTGCTGTGCCAGGAGAACTGATGGAGACTCTCTGGGATCTCCTTTCAGACGAGACAAAGACATTCTACTGCACTGAAATACCTAATTAAGTACAAATGCTCTCCCTCACACACCTCTCCAAATCTGCAGGTCTGAGCCTATGATAAAAGCAGTTAAATTGGCCTGCTGAAGACCAGCTCTTGTGGGCTCAAAAATCATGACTCATACAGCCAAAATGATGGGAGTTGTTTTATAAATCACGTGACTTCTTCTAATAATGAATTGGCAAAGGATGGGTACTTTCTCACCCCTGCCTCTGATCTTTCCAATGAACTATTTTAACTCTTTTCTCTATAGCTGCAGGAGCTTCTTATTGTTTCTTCCTTAAATCAGTGGGTCTACTACAAACACATGTACCCAAGAAGTGGTGCTTTAGGGCAATGTTGTGTTAAATTCATGGAATTTGCAACACAGACTTCTTTTCTCCTGCCACAGCTGATAAAATATAAAATTTCTACTATACCTGTTTTAATATATATACTTATCCATATGCTTAGGTTCTTAATGTGTAAATACATATTATATATATATATATACAACTTATTTGTGTATATATATAGATATGTATATATATATATATATATATATATATATAATGAACAACTTTTGTACCCATGCATACAGGGTATTTGATTTCTGCGTGTAGAGCATGGAAGCCACATTTTTGACCACTTTTAGCTATGCTTCCTGAGAAATTAAGCTTATGCCATTTAGCTTTTTGTCCATCTGTCTGCTTGTCTGTTCTTCCCTTCATCCACTTACGTGCTTGTTTGCCAATCCTGTTCCACTGACCTTCCTTGTAATATTGAAACCCACATTTAGAGGATTTTTTAAAGTCAATCTAATTTTCATCAAAAGCTAATCAGTGAGGTTCAGACCATGGGGAAAACAATCCCTTTTCCTCTCTTTGATAATCTCTGAATTATCAGTCCAGGGGAGGTTCCTCCTCTGAATTTCCTTTTTCTCTCTGGAGTCATTTCTCTCCTCAGAGTAGAGGTCTCTACCTCTTCACAGAGGCACACAGAGGATACTCTTCATGCATATGGCTCATAGAGGACCTTCTATGCTTGGAACACCAGTGGCCTGTGGAGCACCTAGGAACTTCTCCACAGCTGACTGAAGTAGGTGACCGAAGATACCCAAAAGCAAAATGCAGGAGTTTGTTCTTCTGAAGAGCAGGATGACAGTAAATCAGCAAAGAGCAAAGCCCTTAAGCCCACAAGTGTTGCCACTGGTCATTCAGTGAAGTTCCATTAACATCACTGCTGCAAACAAGTGACAGAACAGCATAGCTAATCCTCTTGCATCCTTTCTCTTGCAACAGACAGGGTGAATGGGATAGTCTGCCAGCTGAGATGGTTTTGGCCTCAGCTCCTCTCTGTAAGGAGTTGCCTCCCATTAAAAGAAAGTTCTGGTTTAGATTTAAGATATTCTTATAAAACACTAAGCCAGATTTTCTCCTTTTTCCTTCCTACCTAACTTTGAAAACCCTTCTTTATAAAGCAGTGCTTTTATCAGAAGAAAAATGATGAAAATAGCTCTAATTCGTTCTATATTAACGCTACAACAGATTGGAGGAAGATGGGCAATATCCAAACCAAAACAAAATCCACTAGTTTTCATTCAAGTCCAGGCTAATGAAAGGCCTTTGGAGGCTAGTGGGACCTAATGAAATTCAGTATCACAGACATTACTACTGTAAATCTTTGGTCTCTCTGCAAATTATGACAAGCCCCTTTAATTTTATGTTACCAGGTCGCCACAGCATCAAGATAACAAAAATTCTTCCTCTTTCCACTGTTAGAAGGAAAACATTCCCTCACTCAGGAGGAAGAGCTGATTTCTTAAAAAATATGATGCATCCCAGGTGCTTTCTAATATATTAATACAAGTATATGCTACAAGAAGGGCAATTAAAAAAAAAAAAAACCACAAAGATGCCAATCTGCTTTCATGCAAGTCGTCATATCACAAACGCAAATTATGTTATTGCTTGCCACAGCCTACCTCAAAGGCCAGACAAAGCTGGGACAAATAACACACCAGAACAGAGCATCCCTTTCTCAGCTCTGCCCAGACTTTTCCCAGTATGCGTTGCCTCCTCTGCTCCAAGAGCAAACAACTTCAATTACCTTCATCCCGCTTGCGTTTGTTGCTCTCTGTGCCAGGGGAAGTAATTCCCAGAATCCCACTGATGGAGTAGGAAGAGCCAGCAGAGTCAGTGCTTACTGAAGACACCTGCGTCACAGACCCTGTGGAGGCTGTAATTGAAAGCAAAGAAGTCAGTGTGCATGAAAATATGAAAATCAGTGGGTACAGAAGTTTCCTATTGCTGTGGTGTGATCCAGACAGCTTGGGGCTCTACCAGTGACCAAAACCGTGTGGCTCGGAAAGCTATCCAAGATAAATAGTGGTGCTGCATCTCTCTGGTCTCTGAGGTGGTAAAAGTGGCAGAAATCTCGTGCACATTGAGATTATGGCCTGCAGAAGCAGCAGGGGGTCCCATGCCCATCACTGAATTGGTTTCTACAAAGTGCCTCGTGGACGTGGATATGTGTATTGCTCTTGGCTCACGTGACAGCCTGCAGTGCAAAACTCCAGACCAGAGTAAAGAGCTCCTGGCATGTGTGGGACAGGTTATGCTTTTCCTTTAAAACCTCAGCATGTTACGGCTGAGCAGTTTTCCTTGGAAGAAAAAGCTAAGGGAGCTTTTTTAATTGAACTTCTCATCTCAGACCAACTGGAAAGCAAAAGGACAGTGCTAAGAAATGGCAATGGATTGCAAATAGAAGGAAACTTTCAACCACTGTTGTGTCAGAGGTACCTTTGGAAGATACATTTCTAAGACCTATTGGTTGTCTACCACTTCATATCATTAATGGAGTGGAAGGAGATGGATTTGAGACCTTACAAAAAAGAACATCCAGGTAAGATGGTGTGCAGTGCTTTCAATCTCCTGACACAGAAACCATATAGCAATGAAGTGGCATGCACTTGCTATGCTTGATTTGCTGACCAAGCTACAAGTCTCCAGTGGGTGAAAATATTTTTGAGCAGCAAGGGTTACACAGAGATCTAGGCAAGACTAGCTGTTGACTGCATGTGACTGAAGGGCCTTGAAGCTCCTCAAACTGTGAATTAAATGTTTCGCTTTGACAAAATCCTTAGGAAGGGTTCTGGGTTCAGTGCTCAGGTGAAGGAGGTTCTGTTTTTATAGATCATATGAGTCTGTAGATGACAGCCAGCATTGTAGGGATGGTGTTCCTGTTTCGCTCTGGAGGTTCCATGTTTCTGAGAAGCTCCTAGCTTGTAGATGCACAAGGTGTGTGGCCCAGGGCCAAAGGTGGAGAACTGGCATCCATCTCCATCTACTCACAGGCTAAGCCTGAGTTGGCAGGTTGCCACTTCACGGGAGCTAATCACAGAAAGCGGTTTGTATGCCTCCAGATCATGGGACAGTTTAGCACCAGGATCACACCAAGTCCTGTAGCCAAAGTACTGGAATAAGCTACAGCAGAGTAGCATCAGTGTCATGATTTTCTTCTGGGTATAGCAAACCCAAATTCTTAGAAGAAAGTTTTATTTCTACTCATGTTTTTACTCGATAGGAGAAGAGTCAGCCCATAAGTTTTCATTGCAAGCAGGCTACTGTTTTTCCTCCTTGGGGATTATTTTGGCATATCCTTGAAAGAAAGACCCAGGATGCTGTCCTATAGTGAGATCTCTTCAAGAAGTTCAAAGTGTTAACACAGCTCTTTGCTATCGCGCTATCAGCTCACCCTTGCCACCTGAGGTCAGTAAGTGTTATCCCCATTTCACACATGAAAGCATTACAGTGCAGGGTGACTAAGACCTCCAGTCTGCCTCTGTTTTGTACAACAAGCAATGCCTTATCATCCTCTCAACAGTTTTCATGGAACAAGGAATTGAGCTCATACAGAAAACAAAACAAAATGAAAAAACACAGAGGCAAAGAGGCAAACAATGTTGCAAGTTATCTGCATCCTCTCTGTTCTCCTTGGCAGAATTAGGAATAAATTACGGTTTTCTTATAGTCTTAAGTAGCAATTCACCCACTGCCTCCCTCAGCACAGGATATTTCTTCAATACTAGGGCATTAAAATCAATATAGCCTCCTACATAAGCTCCTGAAATAAATTAACCAATGCCCCAAATTGCCTCCATGCAACCGTGTTGTTCAGGAAGGTAGAGGTATTCGGAGCTGTCCATGAAGAATGGATTCAACCCACAGCCTCTGTATACACAGCTAAAGACCAGTCACAAGTCCTACCCATGCAGGTGCCTAGAATGATTTCTGAAGAGAACAAATATATCTGATAAAGAAAAAGACAATCAGCTTGGTGAACTGTGGAAGAGGCCTCATTAAGCAGGAAACCCCTTCCAAAGATCACCTTCCCACACTCACTTGGTTCTCCTGTTCATATTGCTGGTCTGTATTTGAATTAAAGTTCAGAAAGTTTTGCTACCTCTTCACTCAAGACTGCAAGTGCACAAAGAATTATGGAAGGCATGGCTGATAGATGAAAAAAACACATTCAAAACTACTTACTGACTAATGATGCAGAAAATGTTATGAATAAGTATCCCTTTCTTGATTTATTGCTTTAATTATCTGACATTCTATAGACCCCCATTAGTGTGGGGGGGTTGGTTTAGATTTCAATTTTCTGTCTCATGGTGAAAGCTATTTATCATAATAATCAGTAAAATTCAAAACCTTTTAGCAGTATTTATAAAATTCATTTACTATGTTCAGCCCTTGGAGAATGACAAAGAAGGCGCATTAGCACGTGTGCTGAAGTGTTTTATGCAGAATTATCTGTCCATAAGAATGATTAAAAGTTCTTCAGAATATTTGTAATCTATTATACTATTTTTTAATATAAAAAAGAAAAGTTTTCCTTACCTATGCTGTGACTGGAAGCAGGGACTTGCTGATTGGGTGGCTGCTGTACCTTCGTCCGTATGATCCTGCATGCAGTTGAAAAGAAATAAATGACTACTTACTATTAAGCATGCAATTGCGGGGGACACCAGACACTATTTTTTTTTTCAGTTCAGGATAACTAGATAAATGCAAAAATGTCTTCCCATGTGTCACCCTCTTCTCATCTGAAATTTTGGCAGGTTCAGGCCTATATTTTGGGCTCCAGCTCATGTCTTCAGTGATATTTTGATGCCTACCGGTTCTTTGGGATCCTAGTGGGAGTTTGGTGTTCCCGTCCCATTGAGAAGCCAGGTTTAATTGCCAACATACCAGACATCTATAGCTATTTGGGTATATTTTTGGCCAGACATCCCATGCTCAGGTTGATGCACACTTTTGAGTCCAGACATGACCTTAGGCTGCATCCTTAGGTGCTTGAACACCTTTTTAAATATTCCCCTAAACTACCACTGGGTGCAGTGCTTAAACATCTAAGAAAGATTCTGTTTAATCAAAATGATATTAAAACAAAAACATGCCAAATTAAGTATTCAAAGAGTCACTGCACTGTCATTACTGGGGACAGCCTTTGCTTTGATTTATAATGATACAAGTCAGGAAATAATCAAAGAGGTAGACAAATAAAAGATAAGTTGCATGTGGTATTGGAAGAGGGATGGTGATCAAAAACAGCAACTGAGGTAGCCCGTCAAGTGCTGACTTGCCAACGTACTGTTAGGAAGGAAGAGATAAGATCTGAAATGCTGCTGGAGATTAAATAGTTTTGCCACTGACTGCTGTGGAAGCAAGATGAGTTTATGCCTTGAATGAAATACACTCTTTACCCAAATCACGTGTGTCTGCTTTATTCACTTTTTATGCAACCATAGAGAGACGTGGTAAGCATTTCTGCTATATTCATCTAACACACTCTTTTCCCATTTCTGCTTGCCTTGAAATAAAGAGAGGAGAGGAGAGGAGAGGAGAGGAGAGATAGCGCCATGCACAAGACTTCCTCACTTCTGTGGTGCAGGAAGGGTATCTGGGGCCTCCTGACACATAAATGTCTTTATCTCTGAAGGCATGGAGGACAGGAGTGCTTTGAAACAGCTGGGCAGCTCTCATCTTATTTGAGCAGAGCCAGTTGCAGTGATTAATTAAGCCTTAATCACATAGACTTGCTCCTGCTGTGGAAGAGTGGCTTATTATTAATATTAATCTTATTAATGAATAATAATAGCAATTATTCATTCATATACGGGACTGCAGCTCAAATCTATCTTCCAGAATGCATACATTAAGGCGGATGTGCTACACATAGTTTGTCATAGCTGCATTATAGCACACTGCCCCAGCCCTTCAGTCTAACAGTTATGACAATTCTCCTCCTGAATAGGAGAACAGTAGCAAAAGAAGAGCATTACGGTGGTACAGTTGTAACACAGGCAGACTGTGCAGCCAGACTAGCTGCAAGAATCTGATTGAATGACTTCTGATGGTAGCTCAAGCCTACAACTAAAGGGCAATATCCAAGTTGCACAGCATGGCTGAGAAAGACTTGTCACTTTTCCACAAATGACATCAGCGAATAGGGTCCAAGTCTTCCAGAGCTAGGGATTCAGTCTCCTTTGCTGCTGGCACTTTAGAGCATCCACACCCAAAGCTCCAGATCTGCTGCAAGATCAAAACCATTTAAAATACACCTTATATGTTTATGAGTGTTATTTTGGAAAATGTCTTGGAAAACAACTTATATTGCTGTTTGTGTGTAGATTTACACATTCAGGAGTAGAAAGCACAATCCCTTTGCACCATGCCTTGTACTCCATGCCTATACTGTATTTTCCTAATCCAGCTGGCTGCCACGCTGTATCTCTCTAGTTCCTTCTTCGCTGAGACCTAAAGAAAAGAGGAAAACTCCTCATACAACATTTACCTTCCCCCACACCTGAAAGTTTGGGGATATATACAGCCATCTCTGTGCATGAGCATCTAGTTGTCATTAAGCAGCTGCATTAGGCTGCCGGGAAATAAAGTACACAAGAAATTTCACATCTCCTCCTGTCCCCTAAAGCCATCAGCTCTCCTGCCACTGGCCAATGGATTCTAATCCTGCCAGGCTTTCATACCTTAAGAGTAAGGCATATTACACATCCTTAATGTGTAATAACCCTATCAGTAAAGCTTTGAGGCACATGCTTACTTCAAATATAAGATAGTTCCCACAGACTACATAATATAATTGGGAGAATTTAAAATTAAAGCCTAGCACTTCAATGTGAATTCCAGGTGTGCTGTCATAATAGTTTGGATTGGAGTTTTGAGGATGTGCTCCCAGGCTGGCAAAAACTATTCTCTGCGTGAACAGTCTGACTCAGAAAGATTGTGTGCATTTCAAAAGGAGTTTCACACTTTTGAGAAAAGGGGGAAGTCTTAGCTGCAGTAACAAGAAGATCAGAAAGAATGTAATTTCTGGCCAAAGGACTCGGCTGCAAATCATGGAGTAGATTTGCAATGCGATGGCAACGAGTGTGTGGACATCATCAGAGTGGAAACATTCAAGGACAGAGCAAGAGATAGAGTATGAAAAACTGGTAAGAACCAATAAAACCTAGAGCCTTTTTGGTAGATTTTTGGACAATGCCTGAAGCCCTACTGCTCAAAGTAGCAGCAGTGCTTCTTACGTGATAGGACTTGAGTTGTTCTGCTGGGAACAGATTTGGCCTGTGGCTACATGAGGACAAATCTTGGTAGAATTTTCCTTCATTTTTCCTGGTTTCCATTACTATTTCTAAAGCAATTTTTTTTAACATAAAATCTCAGTGTCTACAGGGTTATTTGTTGCTGCATTAGATTCTAAGCTAAATATGAACTTGAAAGAAGTACTAAAAGATGTGAATGAGCAAACCTAACCTTTATTTATCCATGCAAATATATGACTCTGCATTCAGCTTGACAAGATCAAACCGTATTCCTAGCTAACACTGTAGAAGTCTTCCCTGTTGGTCAAGTGACAGTTCCATTCACGCAGATCTATTGATACGGTCAATAAAATAAAATTTCATCAGTTTATTTCATGTAAACATAAAGAGATTGAGCTGCATAGTTGCATTCAAAGGATTTGGATGAAATTATATAAGGGGAAAAACATCTCAGTAGGCTAAGAGGCTCCCAAATGCAGGGCCAAGGCTCAAAATGAGATTCTCCTGCACCTTTACAAAAGTGATTCAAGGCCATTTAAGCATATCCATTTAACAAGCAGATATTCGGAGCACTTGGAAAATTCTGACTGAATTCCACCTTTTATATTCATGGTAAATGGTTACCAAACGTCAGATCAAATTTAGCAATATTGAGTAGATGGCAGAAAGACTGCAATGCTGCTCTTCTTCAGAGAGTTGAGACCCAGACTTCTTCTACACTGTCTCTAGCCCCAGTATTTGAACTTTCAACTTTCCTCCCTACAAAAAGAGCTTGCCTTGGAATCCCTGCCTAGTCCAGGTTTCAGTCCAAAATTGAGACCCAATTCAGATCCAATAACCCAAAATATTTTTGGAAGTCCCAGTCTGGAGAACAGGGGAAAAAAAAGCGGGGGGGTGGGGAGGGGAAGAAGCAAAGGCTGAGAGTAGAATTTGTCCATTCCTAGGAAATGTTTGTAATTTGTGATACTTTCATCATCAAGGTGAGCCCATGGCTTCTCTCAAACCCCAAACACATTATGAAAACATATGCAAACAGCATTTCTTGAAGGTCACCCCAGACATCAAGGTCCATGTGTCATTGTCACACACTCGCTCAGCTAGAAGTCTATCCCTGATCTCCCATGCAAACATGGTAGGATTTTGGCGCTTGTACTCCGCAATTTTTTCAACGACTTTGGGTGTGGCGACCTTTGGTTTTGATCCTCCAATCACTCCAGGCTTAATACTACCAGTTTCGTAATACCTGGGACAACATCCAAAACAAAGCTTTAGTTATCTCAAAAGGACAGAGAACATGCTTTGAGATTTATAGAGAACACAATTTCAAGGTAACCAATCCCTGGAAAATCCTAAGATACATCTTCACTTTCACATACACATTTTCTGCTTATGTCATGCTTTATCACCTAATAGATTAACTTACAGTAATTGGAATTGGGCCTCAGGATAGAATATATATTTTTTTCTGTAATAGCAAGACAATAGAAACAATGCCAGATTAAAGGGCATGTCGGGATCCAAAATTAACTGAAAATGTGTGTTATTAATCAGAGCTGCTGGCAATAATAGAAACAATTCACACCAAAGACCTTTTTTTTTTTTCAGGGGCGTTTTTTGTAATAAATTATTGTTTCTAAAGAAATTCTCCATAATTTACATATACAGCTTACTGTCATTTCTTAGCAGACTGAAGATTGCATACAGCATTTGCCCATTCAAAATAAATATAACACACCTTTTCAAAATTATGGTTTTAATATAAGATTTTGTTTCAATTGCTATGTTTTAGAGAGAGGGAAGTGTTTAGATCTCGGAGGGCTACGCTGGCTTAGGGATGGTTTATTTGGTTGGTCATCCAGTCTTTTCTCATATACATGGTCTTTGCACCCACAAGCAGTTCTACTGGTGTCATACCAGGAAAGGTGGTAGCACTGGACCCTAAACTGATTGAAACATAAGACAGTTTTAAAGTCTTAAAAATTCTGTTAAAAACAGAAGTCAGGTTGTGTCCACTGAGGAGATCGTTCTCCTCTATGCAATTTTCAGGATGTGCAGCACACAAGGACATTCTTCTGGCCATGGGCTCTCTTTGTTTGTATCTTGTGAATTTTTACAAGCAAACGAAAAATAAACCTTGTTCCTACCTGCAGTAAGGCAAGTGCTTTCCTGCCCTAACCACCTGGTCTGGTAAATCCTTCCCATACAGAGCTCACTTGGACTTCATAAATATTTAAACCAGAGGGACCCAGCTAGATGTATTGCACTTGTCCATTGGCTCCTTAGCATCTACATTTCTAACAAGGAGCTTAGAAAAGACTCTCAAATAAAAGTATAGGCTTGTTTATTAATATAATTTTTCTGCATCTACTTGACATCAGCTTTACAATATTTTTTTTTAATTCCACAGTCTTTCTAGTGGGAGGAGAGCACAAACAAGCTCTGAAGCTGGAGTCTGTGTCACTACAATATGCATTCATGTTTACCAAACTTCTGCCAGATCACTGTTTTTTAATCTTTCTGGAAAACCTGAAGTATGTGCAGGACATAAAATCCCTTTGAAGAAAATGGCACCATGTTGTTGGTGCATGCTTTCGAATACCATGGATGCAGATCTGAATTTCGCTATTCTCGTTTTCATTGAGCCAGTTAATGGAAAGTGCAAAGTGTCAAAATCCAGCCCCCCAAAATCTAGCCTAGAATTGTACCATAGGGCACAGTGGTAAAATTTTGCTCCTCCCATGCTATGTTTCCTGAGGCATTAATAAAATGATGGTACGCTTGCACCACAAACCTACTATAATCTTGCATCTCCAGTCTCATAAACTTTGCTGGTGGTCTCTCCTTTGAGGCAGGATCTTGATGAATATTATACAATGCTCAAAAAGTCATAGTTTTCTTAGCTTTGGTCAATAACTGCAGATTTTAGAAGAATTCCTTTGTGTTCTTCTCCAGCACTGCCTCTCTGCACGTCAATATGGTTGTGTTGCCCCTTGTCTCGACTCCCTGTCAATGCCAGATGACCCAGCCGATAAGAAAATTAGCTACGAAAAGGCTTGGGGAGCACTAACTGGACAAACAGAGCCTGTTCCTCGTGGCTGACTCTGCCAATGTTTGGTAAGCAGTGAAGGCAAAACCCTGAACCTCCAGAGGTATGGATGAGGTATGGATGAACTACATGGCACCAGCTCACTAAGGTCCTGCTGACATCATTTGGATGTATCAGCTTAATATAACATGAGCGCAACCAAGGAGCAAAAGCACTTGGTGAATTCTGGAGAGCAAGACCTTCACTCCCAAATCTTCTAACCACGAATCAAGTACCTACCCACATATCCACACAATTCTGAGCTCAGCAAAAATCAATATGCATTAATCAAAATACTCATAGCAAATAGGAAGACGTTGCTGGACCTTTTCCCAGGAAGGAGCTCACATGTAGCATGGGCCAATTAACGGCCAGTGAAACCTATAGCCACCCGTTTCCTGTTCACCCTGGTGTTCAACCTGAGAGCAGCTCGAACAGCTATGGGTGGCAGAGAGCTACCATCTCTGGCGCTCAGCTCCGTTTTAAAGACAAGCTCGGCTGCGTTTGGATTTCATCTATAAAAATTAGCTCCAGGGTCTTTTAGTCCCGTGAAGATGACAATGTAAGTGAGGAGCAGGCGTCTCCACAGTTCTCTCCTACGAGACTGTGGGGGCAACCAGACAGTTTTTACCTCTGACCTGGCAAACACAGCTTGCTGTTGGTCATCATTTAGTTAGGTTTAAGTCTGCATTAGGGACTAATGGATTAAAAGATTTTAATAATAAAATTTCAAATAAAGGATGGAAGAATTTTTCATACGAATCCCATTTTTTTTTCAAATGCATGCTCGCAGATCTCCAATTATAGTGAAATTTTACCCACTGTAATTATTAGTTATAAAAATAATGAGCTATGAAATTCTCATTAATTGCTGACAATTTAAATGACAACACTCTGGAGCTTCACGTTTAGCTCCATAGTGAAAATATATCTAAAAATAAATCCATTCAAACTGGCAAAAATAAAACTGTTGGACATTTCACTGTGAGGTGGATAAATTTAATGTTTATTAGCTTTATACTGGTCCTGATAGTTAGCCAGTGGAGGATATTCTGGACATATTTATTAGCAGAATTATTATTTGGAGATTAGGAGCCTATCCTGAGAGCAGATAATAATATAACAGAATGAAACAGCCTGTGATGGGCAGGTAGGTCTCAAAACATATGAAAAGTTTTTCGCTTAAAAAAAAGTAAAAGCCATTGGTGTCCTTAAACATACACTAATGTAAAAATCGGGAGGAATGCTCTTAGCTTACAGAGGCTGCAAAAAGCAGGGATGCTCAGTGTCACCTAAATATTGGTTCACGTGGCCTTCTAAAATCACACAGTTCAGGACTGTAGAGAAGGTGTTTGACGGCCCACATGGTCAGAGATGACAAGGCTACAGTGAGAAGAATGATGAAAGAATTAAAGAAAAAAGAAAAAAAGACATAGGACTTCGCCAAGTTCATAAATGTTGCTAATTCAGGGAAGATCCTATGTGTGCTACCATATGAGTACCTGCTGTGGTAATCTTTACAGCTACGCTATGATTGATTTTAAGAATTGGTTAAAAATGGATTGTACCTTTGAAGCTTCGTCAGTATTTAAGAAATAAGCTTTTCCCAAACTATCAAGAAAAAATACTGTAATAAGAAAAAGTAAGTCTTCCTTTATACGACATGCTCGATCATGGACCTGAAGTTCAAAGCATTTTAATATTGTAATTTAAACAAATCATGTTCAGTTTTGTCCACAATTTACAAAGAAGCAGAGGCAGGGTTTCTTTATTTTTCTTTCTTTCTTTTTTTTTTTTTTCCTTTTCCTTTTTGGCCTGAATCTAATTCAAATTTCAAAAAGACATTGGGAAATGTTTGGAATTCAGAGCTTAATTTGCTGTTGCTCTGCTGTTTTGAGCAGCTCCTATCCAAACTTTCAAAACAGCCAAGTTTAAAACAGGTAACTGTTAATTAGTGGCAATCTGTGTTTCAACTAAGAGGACCATCACAAGAGTAAAATATATATACAGACACATATATATACACAGACACACACATATATGTATGAATGTATATATGTGTGTGTGTATGTATATGTATGTATATACATATAATAGTGAGACAATTTCCAAAATAGCCAGTGTTAATGAACACATGACAATGCTCATGCAACACCTCAATATTTAATGGTATAATATGCTTAAAAAAGGTATTCTTCAGAAATCACAAGGAGTAGCTTTCGGGAAATGGTTCATATCTTTACCGAGGATGAGTCACAGATTTCTCTGTTTGTTCAGTACAGACAGATGCACGATATGTATCACATACATACCAAATACACGACATGTGACATTTCCTAATTTGCTTTGAAATTATCTGCAAGAAACTCTGAAAGGAACAAAATAAATGTATAGATAGTTGCACTTTTTTGTTTTTGCTCAAGCCAAACATATACAAATCTCCAGGAAATCAATGGCAAAGAACACTGCATCATGGCTGGACTGATTTCCTAAGATATTTTTATTATTCTCTGTTTGATTTGTCCCTTGTTTTGCAGCCCATGAGTAAGGGACAGGCATTGATTTTTTTTTTTTATAGACATCAAAAGATTTGTCATCCTCCCTTTACCTGCCAAGTATTTTGCTGACACAACCATGGCTGACCCGCAGCTGCCTGGAGATATCGCAAGGCCTGACCCCTTGGTGGGCAAGTTCCACGATCCTTTGACGAACAACATCTGGAAGGGGGCGGCCGTTCACAAAAACACCCCCTAACTGATTCACTCCTCCATGTCCTGAAACACACAGGGAAGAGGGGGAAAGGACAAGGGAGGGGAAAAAAAAAAAAAAAACAGTTCTGTGATATTTGGATGACATTTCTCCAGTGCAATCCTGTTTAGTCACTGTGTTCTCCAGTGTTGGGGACATCCATGATGCTGATTATTCTCTTTTTTTGATTTTTTTTTTTTTGCTTTTACCATGCACTGCTGAAATCCCAGGAATGAAGGGAAGCAGGGCCATGTTGTATTCTGATTGAAATTTCACACTGCTTGCAATGCTACTCATTGAAGAAGTGCCTCCTGCCTGAAGGCAGCTTGGTCCCCTTGTTTGAAAAATGACCATTCGGAACCATATGCTTATGTTCAGATCTGCTAGATGTGGAGCATGTTCCTTTCAGCACAATGATCAGTTTTTCCCACGTAAGGACTCCCCAGTCAGTCCTGGTGCCTGCATAGTGGAGGCTTTTTATCAGCTCTGACTAGGAAGCCAAGGAAAAACAAAGCTGGATGTTTACTATCTATTCAAAGCTAAGCAAATAAATAAATAAATAAATAAGGAGGGGGAGTCTTTTTTTTTTTTTTTCCTTCCAAAAGACTTGACTTAATCAAGAGGAGAAAAAAAAAAAGAGCACGATTTCTGCTCCTACAATTTACAGCAGTCTGGGCAGATATTACGATCCCACAAATGAAATGTGAACACTCAGCCAAGCCAAATATATTATTCTTTTTCTAGCAGATTTGCACTGCTCACCTTTAGCAAGGTGAATCATATATCTGGTGGGAAATGGGTCCCAGTCAGAGGAACAGCAGTGAAACTGTGTAAAACCAATGAACATGTAATAATCCCATGTAGCAAGTGAGAAAATATAATTAACCATCATGTTGTTAATCATCCAAACTACTTAAATTGCAGAGGAGCAGAGAAATTGTCAACAAGCAATAGAGGCAGGCTGCATAGATGGCAACACTGGAACAAAAATAATAAGGAAAATCTCTCTATATTCACAGGATTTGAAATGCAGAAATCAAATGCCTCAATATTGAAAAAATATATGTGCAGCCATTTTTATTTCAATTTGGTCATTTTACCATGGATAAAGTGCTATCAAACTTTGTAGACAGCTTCTAAAACTGTCAGGGCACATGATGAATCCACATTAAATATATTTGATTGCAAAAGCCATTTAAAGCATGCAAGATAAAGTCTTCTATCCGTTTTAGGAGTAGATCTTTCCTAGCAGCAGGGCATCTTTTTAAAGGCATCCCTCCTGCAAACAGAAGTTTGTTCTGAGTGCACCAAGTGCAGCACACCCTTTTCAAAGGGAACATTTGGTGATGTAAAGGTAAAACATAGTGCTGCTCTCCATGATGAAATGATTTTAAGGCGAGAGAAAGGAAAACTCCATGAGTGATTAATACTAAAAACACAGGACCAGTCCCACAAAGCTGGAGTGAACAAGACCTCGGGCTTTACACCCATTACCAGGTTAATTATATTAAATCATGAGCAGCACATTTAATATACACGACAACATTTCGTAGGTCTTTTTTTTTTCCTCATAGAGAGAGGAAGGGAAGGGAAGGCGGAAGTTGGAAGGAAAGGAGGAAAAAAAAAAGAAAGATTCAAGGGAAGAAGGAGAAATTGGGAGAAGAAGGGAGGAAAGAAAAGGAAAAAGACGGAGAAAGGGAAAAAGAAAGGGATTAAGAAGGATAAGGAGAGCAAGATGTCCCTTTCGGGGACTGAGATGATTCCCCGATCCTAAACCAACTCCCCAGCCCTGCAAAGGAGCAGGAAAGGAACAAAGGCCCCTTTGGCAGCAGGAGCTCGAGCAGCCCCGGCGCGGGGGCTGCGCGGAGGCGG